ATGGAGGTATGGTGCTGCCTTGTCTCAAAAAATGTCAGTCCCATTTGGGAACGATAAATGTTTGTGCTGCAACTTGTGGGCACACAAGAATGCACACCCCAACCCCCTCCTCCATGGAGGAAAATTCCCTGAGCACTGGATTACATACTGAAATACCTCTACATCCAAGGAAGCTACTTGAACATGTAACTGCAGCCTTGTTCCAGGTGTGTCACATGCCGGCACAGGCTTTAGAAAGCCAAATATCTTCAGAGAGGGTACTTTGATCTTTCTATTCCTCAAGTACAACTCTAAGATAAACTATAAACAAACATCTTAGTTTACTTTGTTTTAGTAATCTGCCTGGGAATGCGATGTTCTCTGAGAGCTTTCTCTTTCTGTCCTTCTCTCATGAATTCATTCCCTTTTTATTAAACTGAATCTTAGGTGAGTTCATTTTTTAAGCTATAAATTCCCAAACAGGCTTCTGAATAACCTGTGTAAGTACAGGACACACTACTTGCATCCAACTTCCCCTGTCACACCACAGCTCGCACAGACTTCTCTGTCTCTCCTCTAGTGGGGATCTTGGGAGTTTCCATTTGTCTGAGGAAGAGTTATTTATCATGCATGTGACTCTGGTTCTACTTCACCTGAGTCTCATGACAGTGTTATTAGGAGATAATGGGCAAGATCTCATTTTTCTTAAAATGGTAAAGCAAATTTCTAGCTTCTGTGATTGCAGGGAAAATTTTGGAAATGTAGAATGCTCCTCTAAACTATAGAATCAAGAAGTCAGGTAAAATACTTTCCTCCTCTTTATGTTTTAGGATCTTATGATTTTTTAGCCAGTTTCTTTCTTTAGTATTGTTTTTTTTCTGTAGAGAAGGTCAAGGTACAGGAATTAACTCACATTTTTACTTATCTATTTTTTATTCTTTGAGGCTCACAATGAGCTGCTTTTGCTAGCCTTCTGACTCTAAGTGAAATTAGGGTTATGCTTATTTCATTGTTACTGAAATAAAGGGCAACTAGTCTCCAAACAGCAGCATCTACCAACTCCTTCATGAAAGCAAGATAAGGTCATTGTGCCAGGATCTATCTGAACCAAAGAAAGATCCAAAGAAACTCCTTCCTTGTAGCTCTCATGGCAGTCATAAAGAAGAGGCTTAGATGAGATGCTAAGAGGAGACACAGCCTGACTGACAGTCTGGGTAGTGTTCGGTGGATCAGAGGAATTTTCAGTGCATGTGTCAAACCAACTATTTTCCCCTCAGCAGTCCGACAGGGGTGCAAGAGGCTTTCCTTTTCCCTCTTATAAATGGCCCTGCATCCTAAAGGGAAGGATTTGATGCTGGACAACCGAGGCTGTGCATTTCTTATTTAATTGTTAGCTCCTTGCCTGTATAATTTTAGATGTGAGTAATTGTTTTTTTCCTCCCTTCTTTTCTTTTTCTTTTTTTTTTTTTTCTTTCTTCCATCAGTGGAAAAAATATCAGATGTATGGGAATATTAGAGTAAGTGGAAAGAGTGAAAACAGCTATTTTCCTGGAATATAATGTTATGTTGTGGGGTCAGAAGCAGATGAAGCTAAACAATGACAAAAGAGAGTGCCTTCTTGTTCCTTTTTAATCTATAAAATATCTGAAGCTACTAATTTTACTGCAAAAAACAATGACTTCTCTACCCTCTGGGCAGCTGGATTAAGATTTAAACTACTGTTGAATGTTTGGTTTCTTTCTATTTTTTTTTTTTTTAATTTTAGTGTTGTCAGTATATTCAGTTGCCCATTTAAGGCTCATGTTGCTCAAAAAAGGTTGCAAAAGACTTTGTGTTTTGTACACCCATGAAACTATTGCTTGTAGCTAGCAGGAAAGATGTGAAGGACTGAGAAGGGAACTAACTGATCTGTATTTAACCACACTATTTTGAAAAACATTTTTCAAGAAAGAGTTATATACACAGTTTACTATGGACAAGAAATTCTAAAATTAAAAAGTCTTCCAATGAAACAAGTCATCCTCAGAGAACCCACTGGGAATTGTTCATTCAAGATCACCCAAGAAGAATTACTTTAAAGTTATTTACAATGCCTGATTCTTGGATTACACGTTCAAGATATTTCTTTACCAAAAGATTTTTTTTTTTTTAAATAAGGTTCCATTTTAAAATCACAGATTTATTTTCTGAAGAAAAGAGTTCCTTGCAAGTATAATAAATAAATTAGATTTTTTTTTATGGAGGAAAAAAGAATTAATGTATCTGAACTGCATATTCACTAGACAAGTTAGTTTTGTATGAAGTGGTAGCTTTAAGAATCACTCCTGATTAATTGCAAATGCTAATGAAATTAGCAGATCTTCTCACATGTTTCAAACTCAATATATGATTGAGTGGTCTGCTGGATCTGACAAGCTGTACTCTTCAGTAAATCCAGAAAAAGAGTTTTAGCTGTTTGGTTTTGTTGTTGTTTGTTGTTGTTGTTTGTTTGTATGTTTGTTTTTGTTGTTGTTGGTTGTTGTTGTTGTTTGTTTGTTTGTTTTTTTCCCGGGAGTAAATATAAAACCTAGTAAACTGAAGCATTTCAAGAGTTCATTTCTGGTTTACCTTATTCTTAATGCAAAAATGAAATATTAACCAGATAAAAATGTTTTGTTCTTTTCTTCTTTTTTAGGGGAGGGAGGGTGGAAGAAATAATTTTTCATTTAGAAACCTTCTTCATTTATAATTCTGTCATATAAAAAAGCTTCACTTGAAGATTTAGCACTTTGGATCACAGGAACTTTTTATCTAACTTTGTCAAACATGAAATTAAATTTTCCAGACTATTTGGTTCCTACAATTGTTTAGGCAACACAAAATGTTTTTTCTGCTTCAGTTTTACAGAGTAGTCAGGAAATTTGTTGTTTTCCTTTATCCAACATTATTCTTTATCTGGAAAGTCTGTTTTTGAATATTAGGAACTTGTTGTTATTTAACAGTGTTAATAATTTAAACTTCTTGGATCTTCTTCAAGTAGTCCAGACCTTGAGAAAGCAAATTTTAGTACTATTACAAATAAACCCCTGTTGACTCACCTTCTCCAATTTTAGTATCTGTCATTGAAATAAACATTACAGAAAAACATTACATTTCATTTACCCTACATATCTTCCAATACCATGAAAGAGGCAATAGGTGCTGCTCTGAACTGCCAAGTAGTAATCAAATTCAATATTAGCAACATTTTCCCTCAAAAAATGAGGCCATAAGCAGCAATAAAGGATTTGCATTATACTTCCTACAGATAAATGTTCTTCCCTTAGAAGCCTGGCAAGATGCCCCAGCCACCAGCCCATGAAATTCACAGACACTCATTTGTGCTACTACTGAGTAACTTAACCGTTTTATTTTGGCTGAGAAAAGTGAGTTTCCAGCTGGACAGCAGTCTGTAGCACTTTACATACACTGGAAGATGCCACATAACAATGTTAAAAAAAAAAAAGGCAGCTACTGAAACTTTGGCTTGGTATCCACAACTTAGAGTAGCTTGTTTTGTTGGCTGTAGTACTTTATGGAGAGAAACAAGAATACATGAGGTAACTCCCCTGATGTTTTTGAGATATGAATAAGAAATTACCCAGTATGAAAATGGCTCATGGAAAATTACTAGACCTCTGCATTGTCACACAGCAGCATTTTTGCTGATCATCCTGTGTGTAACAACAGAGGCACCACCAGACCATCTAAACAGATATCCAGTAATCTTCACTTCCTTATTATTCAAATCAGCTGCTTTAGAAATCTCTTTCTAAGCATCTTTTCAACTTCTGCATTAAATGCAGGTCTTTTAATTTTTACTGATTATACTGATTTTATATTCTTTACATTTACAAAGCAGCCAATACTCAGTCCTTTTTCTCTCTTCATAAACCTGGAGCTGATGCTGCTTTCCAGTCCCAGGAGAGTGTCTCACTCCCAGAAATTCTCTTTTTTCACCTAAAACCAGTGGGGCACTCATTTTCGGGGTAGTTCCCTTGCCTCTCTGGTCAGGGTGGTGATGCCAGGGCATGCCTCCCCACCAGACTAAAAGGAACTTGCTGTGTACTTCTTATTCTAACCTTCCCCTCTCCTTGTGCATTGGGTGCCTGCTCTGCTGCTCGAGAATAGCTTGTAGTAAGGTTAAACAGAAGTTAGAAATGGTAACATGATTACTGTGACATTAGAGGCCATATGGAGATTACAGTTAAGGTCTGTTGTCTTCATTATGTTTCTTCAGTGCTCTGTAAAAAAAAATATGCCCTGTATCCTACTGCCACTCAGATCTCAATATTTTAATTCATTCTCATTTTGCTGAGAAGCTTTCTTTGGCCTCTTCCTCAAAATACACTTTTGTTATACTCCCATAAAACCACAAAAGAATGGTCAAGAAGGGCCAGAAAGAAGGAACTTGCCCCACCCCTTCCATCAAGCCCTCACAAAAGCCAGAAACTGTAGAGAGAAATCAGAGAAACGAGTGAACTGATTGCTAACTCCAAAACCTCAGTTCACCTGTTTGTGACTTGTTGCTCATATGAATATTTTTTTCATCTGTAGCCTATGCAAGCTAAGTCAATAGAAAGTTCTTTGGTGCAGGGATCTCATTTACAGATGTGATTTTGGAAACTAATGATTCTGTAAAACCACTGGGTAGCTGAGGGGGACCTAAAAAGCAGCCTGTGATTTTTATGGAAGCCTGGGCAAGTACCTTCTGGAAATCAGACTCCTCTAAGAATTCATATTTTCCAGTCTCTCTGTCAAGCTCCTGTACTGGTTGTGGAGTTTCTTTCAGAAGTTTTTAGAATTCAGTTAAAACAAATACTTGCTAGGAATGTTGTGGATATAAACAATTTCACTAGTGGTTTCCAAAGCAAGGCTTCTATCTTTTTCTGTAAGATGATTGCAAGAACTCTTTTGGAAATCTCATTCTCAATTTCTTTATTATTTTTCAAATTTTGCATAATGTTTGCAAAACATAAGAATTTTTTAAATAACAAGTCCAAAACAAGATGACATAATTACAGGAGAAAATAAATTATGGAAATGACGGCCTCACTCATGAATTACAATAACAAATAAATTTTTGAGAAGAAAACAAAGTAATGGCTGAGAGCTAGTTTAACAACAGCTACAAACAAAAATGGTTTAACAACAGTAACAACCAAGCAAAAAAAATACCCAAATCCCTCAAAAGGAAGTAGAGCTAAACCAATCTCTATTCAAAATTCCATTTCACAACAAGTCTCAGTGGAGCCTTTGGGACTGTGGTCCCCATATTTCAGTCAGCCATATGCTTCATGAAAAATTTAGATCTGAAGATTCATGGAGTTCTTGACCGGTCTTAACACAGTGACTTTTGTTCTTGCTTTCGTGTTTTTGCCCAGCACCTCAGCAGTTAGATCATCTCTTTGGGACTTGGAAAACCTGGGGTTTTTTTTCCCTCCATTTGTCCAACAGCTTTCTGGCTTAAAGTCTTTCTCCAAAAATTTCTGGAGGGTGCCTTGGGGAAATCTGGGATGAGAGAAGCCTCTGAATATTTCTGTGGAAATGGTTCCATTTTGAATGAAATAATTTAATACTTGTTAAGCGGTTGGCCTTGAGATTAGAGAACTTGCCTGGAGGGGGAGAGATGAATATTTCAGACTGCTCTGATCAATAGTTCACTATTTTATGTTAAACCAAGCAGTGAATAGGCCTCTATCATTCTCCTTCCAAGTAAGCTTTAATTTAAAGACCTATTCACACATTTATTTGCTTGCCATTTTTTTTTTTTTCCCTTTATGTGCCACCCTAACCCAAATGAGGGGTATAGATACAATATAACACTAGGAAAAGATGGAATTTTGTGCTCAACATTTCCTCTTGCCTGACTTTGGTGCTTCTCCAGGCACTATGTCAGACTTTGCAAAGCCTAGTCTTATGTGCCCAACTGTCCCCACACAGCCTTGGTACTTAACTGGAGTCTGATATTTATAAGTTCCTTCTGTGGATTTCACCTCTAACTAATTAATTTCTTATTCTTCATTGAATTCCTATTCAACTAAAAGTAAATCCTTCTGTTAATTGTAGCAAGACACGGAAAGCATTTTGTTGTAGCAAGGTATATATGGTTTGGAAGCTATGAGATATCTTCTGCAGGACCCCATTTGGTCTAAAGTTAGGAATAAATGTTGATGTTTAGCTGTATATATAATTCCTTGCCCTGTCAATGCATGTCAGTCACATTGTTTGAGGTGATTCAAATTCTGTATGTCAAAAATGCATTTCTATTCTTTCTTGGGGTTTCCCAATTGCTGAAATAACCTCCACACTGCCAACTTCTGAAATAATTTTTACAGAGGCAAAGAATTTGGATGGACATTTCTGGTAAAGCTACAAATAAGTTATTCTTATTTTTTCCCCCCAAAGCAGGTAACCAAAGGTACCCTCAGTGGGTGCACAGTAAAAAGCCATCGAAGATTGTTTTAATGCTTTTTTTATCCCCACAGGTCTATAGTCTTTTAAGAATGTGGATCCATCTTTCATCCTTTTTTTTTTTTTTTTTTTAAATATATATATTAGATTACATTGCAGTGGCTGGCACTGCTAATATTGTCTTAGATGTAGATCTCATGATATGCAAAATCATTCAGAGATAGTATCCATAAGTATCCAACAGATACATTGGCTGCAAGAAAACTAAACAACTCTCTTCTTTAACAGTTGCTGTTATGGACAAGGCAAAAGAACCTTAGGTGTTTGCAAAATGTTGAAATTGTACTCATCTGACTCTGAAATGTTCCTGTAGAGCTATTTAGAGCTTCCTGGAAAAACAGGGAGGATATGAGTATGAAATAACATGTTACTTCATTTGACATCTCATGAGAATCTGATATCTGGGGAACATTAGTTATCCAGGCTGAAAATAATAATCCAGCCTCTTTTATCCAGTACAATCTAGTTTATAGTGTTGCTTTTAGGTTATGATGTTACATTTAATTACAATGCAATAAAATACAATAAAAATTACCTGTCACACAACAATTTTAATTGTATTTCTCTGAAGCTGGTCTTCCTTGCAGCTGTGTAAAGTGAAATAGCTTGACCAATTTGGCTCTTATCCTTGGATATCTGGCAAGTTTCTGTGTACCAAGAGTTTCAGTTCCCTGTCGAAGGAAGGGGTTAAATTTCTTGGGTGAAAACAGCGATAATGATATCATCATTGTGGTCCCCTTTGGGGATAAATTTAGGATGCCACAAAGCAGAGAAATAAAGAACTTTGACTGAGAACGAAAGTGATGACTTGCAACAGATTCTCCCCTGTTGTCTGTGTTATCCTGTTTACAAAACAGTTGTCAAAATTTGATAATAAAGCAAACTAAATAATGTTTTAGTACTGTGAAAATCAAGGAGCCCAATTACTTTCCACCTTCAGAACAGAGAAACAAATAAAAATCCACCAAAACAGGTCTAAAGATTCTAATATTCAGACCCTTATTTTTCTTCTTTCCTGTTTCTTCAGTGATTCTTCCAGTTCCCACTATCTTGTACTGACTGGTTAATCAATACTTTGCAGATTTCTGATCTTAGACCTGTGCACTGTTAGCACTTAAAAGCTGATTTCCAGAGAAAGGGATGATCATTTCACCTGGGGAAGAATGCAATAACATCTATAATTTTAAAAACTTCTCTGGTTCATTAATAACATTGTGACTCTGACATGAAGCACTATTTATATGGAAGCTTCACAACAAAGAATAAAGAGGTGGTAGGTGAGGAGGATGGGTACAAGACCCAGAAGAGCATTACTATGTGTGTAGTTAAGATAAAGCCAGCTAGGTCTTAGCATATGCTCAATTACATTTAAAAAAAATATACTTTCTGAATGGGAAAAGTTCACTATAGACACAAAACAAGAAAAACACAGCCTCTTATTAGGTTAAAGTGTCTATTGCTGGAGAAATGGTATGGCACGTTTGGAAGTGAAGGTTGAATGAATTGAACTAAACAGTCACAGAACAAAACATTGTCAAAAAAAATCGCTGGAGCGTATGACAGGAATATTTGGACACATCACTTTTTTTTTCATACCCTGTTTAAGTGAACACTGAATCTTGGAATAAGCCCAGTCAACTGAGGGCAAAGGGTTTCACAGCACTATTCTAAGCACCAATCTGTTTCATCTTTTTTTTTTTTTTTTAAACTTTTTTTTAGACTGGGACATTTCTGTCTGCAAGCTGACCCATTCCGTAGGCATATATACATGTTGCTTAAGGATTTAACAGTCAGAGACACCGAGAGACTGTCCAGAACCCTCTTTGACAGTTCAGGAGACAAATCCAAGAGGCTGAAATACTACTGGGATTTGAAATAGTGTATGCAAAGAGTGTCCATTTATTCAGCTATTTAAAGTGGCTTGTTTCTATAATTTTATATGCATTGAAAATAAATGTATAGCAAGCAATATTTTAAAGTAACTTTCTGTTATACTGTTGGCATCATCTCCAAAATAGTCATCTGTCTTAATGACATTCCATTTATTTAACTCATTTTCTCATTAAAAACACTGCCCTGGTGGTACTGATTGCTCAGTGTTTGACTCTCTAGATTATACAGATCTGGCTGTTCTGAAGAGACAAAAACCCAGGGCAGAGCAGCAACCACAGAGAAGGGAAGTTCCCTGCTAAGAGTTTATCAGATTGAGGAACAACGTGCATTGCCTGATGCACTTATTATCCAGGAAGTTACTCATCACTGTTATTGTTACTGAAAATACTAAAATAATTTCCAGTACTTCATCCAAGAAACTGTGTCCTCCAAATAACAGTGGGACCAGCATTATTAAAATGTCAAAGCACGATTCTGCACATATAGGCTTTTTAAAGTCAAATTAAACACAAAAGCTGATAAGTTGTTTTTCATTTAAGTTTGTTTTACTTAGCTGGAAAGCAGATTTTTACCAATGCCCTGAATGTGTTTTTTACAAACTGTCCTGGTTTTGGCCGAGACAGAGTTAATTTTCTTCTTAGTAGAGAGAATAGTGCTGTGCTTTGGATTCAGTATGGGGTTTGGTATGGGAAGAATGTTGATAACACACTGATGTTTTCAGTTATTGCTGAGATTTCAAGGACTCTCCAACTTTCTGTGTCCTGCCCGTGCGCAGGTGCACAAGAAGCTGGGAGGAAGCACAGCACAGCCAGAGCACTGGACCCAAACTGGCCAATGAAATATTCCAATGAAATACAATGAAATACAATGAAAGCCAATGAAAGCCAATGAAATATCATGTAACATCATGCTCAGTACATAGAGGAGGGGTGTCCAGAAAGGAAGGGGTTTTCTCTCACTTCTGGGATTGCAATTGCGGGATTTGGGATTTTGGAATCGCCAGCTGGGAACAGGCTGGGTATCAGTCAGCAGGTGGTGAGCAATTGCACTGTGCATTACCCATTTGTAGTTTCTATGATTGCTATTGTTTTATTTTATTACAATTATTAAACTGCTTTTATCTCAATCTACAAGTCTCGCTTTACCCCTCCAACTCCCTCCCCCATCCCCCGGATCAGTGGAGGGTGGGCAAGCGGCTGTATGGTGTTTGGCTGCTGGATGGGTTCAAGCCATGACAACAACACAGCCCAGATCTATGTGATTTGAGATCCTAAGTCCTCATTTTTTTTCTCTCTTCATAAAGCTGGCATAACTGAGGCTTGGTAGGCAGGCCCCTGAGCTAAGAAAGACTGGGAAAAATGTCACAGAGTTTTTTTATGCTCTGTAATGAGTATGAGAAAGCTGTTTGCATTTAAACTCTACCCTAGAAAAAATTGGGGTTTACTCTTGTAATGAAGATCTTAGGCAGCAATAAAAGTCAGTACCCAGGATTGTGAAAAGCCTTTCAGGGTACTCTTCCCCACTTGTGCCAAGGGATGGTGAGGACGTGATGGCCCTGTGGTGCTCAGGAGCTCTCCGAAGGCCTGCAGTGACAGCACCGATGAAGAGCTCCCAGCTGCACCATTCTCAGGAGGAGGGCTCTTAGGAATGGCTTAGCAGCACAATATAGACCCAGCCATAATGCTCCAAGGATGGCTGCCAGGTGGAAGCGCCCCTCCAGAACATTCATGCAAGCCATTATTTGTGAAAGGTCCCATATGCTCTTAATTTCCAATCAGTACATGGTGGCCCTGTGGCTCAGTGGGGAGAAAAGGTGCTGTCATCCCCTCTGCCTCAAGCATGTCAAAATGGCATCCCAACTCTCTGGGTCTCTGCTGCATTTTGCAGGATGTACATCCTGAGGATGGTACGTTCATCAGAGCGTTTCTACCTGCAGAGCACACACTGCGTGCCCTGTTTCTTGTATTTGTGCATCAGGACGCTCTGCAGTGTTGCACAAGAGCGGCTGGCATGTGACATAAAATCATGACTTCACCTACTCTCTGTGAAATCGATGGTTGCTGATACAAGGAAATTCCAGGAGCTGATCAAGAAATGGAAACTACAGATTATTGCCTCAATTTCTGCCTTTATTCTGTTCATGGACCACTTTACGTATAAAGATCAGAGTTAAAATATATTAATATTTCAGCGTATTGCCGTTTGGTCTCATTGATCTGTGGACCAGGAAGAGATGAATAACACACTGAGATTGGAGTGGTATTATAATACAAACACTTCAGTGATGTACCAGGTGTTGCCTGAAGGCACCAGCTTTTGGATGAGACCTTCAGCTCTTTATCTGAGCTCCAGCGTTTTGTAGATAAACGATCACATGGCATTTTTGAAAGGAGCACAGAGACAACCCCAGGTTTCTAACTAACATTCACTTTCTTAGCACATAATATAACATGAAGGGTTATTACTGACTGAAGCTTGGCCGTTAATGTTTGCCTACATAGTCACTGTGCTTACCAGCACCTAATCCATCTGAAAGCAGTCTTTAGGATTTTGAGAGAGATGTTAAATAAAACTAAACTACTTTTTTCCATTCTGTCTCACATATAAACCTCTATAAAAATAAACCAATCCTGTGAGTGCAGTTTGAACGCAAGCTTTGCTTCTGAGAAGTTTTAAATGAGACTCTTCCATATCCTTATTTAGATGCAGTATCATTTCTGCCTTCAATGTTAATAACATACGCAAAGGGACTGGGAGTTTTGCAAAAAGTCACAGACCTGTATCTGAATAAGTAATGCAACTCACAGGTGCACATCTCTTGGGGCACGTCCCTGAATGTGTCCGTCTGTGCATAAAGTAAAGGCCACACTGGCACCAGAGCTTTCCATGAGAGCATTTCCAGCCCCGTTTGTTATCATCAGACCCAAATGTTACTACTGCAAGCAGCAGTTAACAAGCAGTGGTTTAATTCCTCTGGAGCCTGTAGGCTGTTTCCTGCAGAATGCAATCTCACGTTAGGACTTAATTATTTTAAGAGTTTGGAGAACAAAAAGATCTTGACATCAAGATAAGTATGAGCTCAGGGAACCAGGGGTCCCAGTCCAAGTCACTTGCCTCTGTAGGTCATGGATTTGGTGAAAACCAGATTTAGTTTTTGTGTATTATCTGTATCATTTTTGTAGTATCTGACAGAGGCAGAGTCTTTGAATATAAAGGCAAATAAAGATGTTCATGTGCTAAGTTCATAGTTTGCTAGGAAAATTATTATAAATTAATAAGACAACCAAACACCTGTGCAAAACCGCAGTAATATACAGAAAGGAATAAGAGATAGTGTTTTGAGACTGAGCTGTGTTTTCCATTTACCCAACCATTTATCACAGGCATGATTTAATTTTCGTATGCTGTCTTCCCTAAGCAGACTTTTCATTCTCTTGAATGAAAATCTAAAAGTCGTGTAAATCACATGTATATACACAACATACAGAATGGTCATTAACTGCAAACCTAACTTGTGCAAAATTTTGTGCATCGGTTGATTTTAACATTTTTTTTAATGTTGCACACATTTTTTTCCTAATAGAAATGAAAAAAAAAAAAAAAATCCCAGATCTAATGAAGATAAACATTCAGTATTGATACAGAACATCAGACAAGCTCAGAGTTTTCAATATGAGAATATATTGGACTGGGAGTATCACTACTCAATTATTTGTTTCCAAAAATTGCAAGTGATAGAGCTGGGCAGAAAATAATGCCAAATGCATTTGCAGTCTGT